CCATATATATATAAACGTTGTATGTAGTGTTTGAGTAGACGGCTTAGTTTTTCTTTTCTGTTAATATTATAAAATTTATTATGTCTACCTGTCTTGGAATTGGCATCTTAATAAAGGGGAAGTGTTTTGAACCAATGTACTTCTTTGTAAGGGATTCAATCCTTGTGACTGGCGTGCTTTTAGACTTCTCACATACTTTCATGGTCAAGCCAAACACCGTTACCCTATTTAAGGCATGCACAACTCGAAAGCCATTAATGCTAACATTTATTTTCGTGATATATATAATCAAAAGGAAAAAGCCAACACTCAATGAAATCAACTAGAAGCACTGACAACTAGGAGCACGGACACTCATCACTTTAGAAACATATAAAAATTTACACATTCAGTTAAAAATACTTAAAAATATCCTTGGCAATGACTAATAGAAGCGTTTGCCCCATATATATATATATATATATATATATATATATATATATATATATATATATATATATATATATATATATATATATATATATATGTATGTGTTATAGTAAAAAAGAAAGAACAGTAATATATATAATCCGGTGTTTTTTATTGATTTTTTTACAATGTAAATTTACAGACCATAAATAATATAATATATATAATATAAATAATATAATTAAATTTGAAGGTTTTAGCTTAGGTTTTGAAACATGGTAATTCCTGTGTAGCGAAGGAAGCATATATTTTTAAGTCATTTAATTTATAATATATATATATATATATATATATATATATATATATATATATGTATATATATATATATATATATGTGTATATAAATATATATATATATGTATAAATATATATATATATAGATAGAGAGCGAGAGTGAGAGAGCGAGAGAGCGAGAGAGCGAGAGAGCGAGAGAGCGAGAGAGACAGGTTTTATTTGTTTTTAAAGTATAGTTATTTGTTTATGTGTATATTATTTTTTTTTTATTTTATTACCATCACCACTGGTCAGTTTTCAGTCAGCATCTGAGGATTGCATTATGCAATGAAACCCAGAGTTGTGCTACCGCTAAGGGAAAAATGTATATATTTGTTATTCATATATATATATATATATATATATATATATATATATATATATATATATATATTATAATAATATTATTATTGATATAATGATGTGAAAATGCGCTACTCAGAGTTCGATGCGTTAACACAATCATCTCGAAGTTTGAATATGAAACCCACAGGTATAATCTGCCTTATATAATCAATCATATATATATATATATATATATATATATATATATATATATATATATATATATATATATATATATATATATATATATATAATTCCGTTTATATATGTGTAGGTAGATTATTATAATTATAATTTTTTTCAGGCATTATTTACAAAAGAAGCTCGATGTTGTGAGATCACGTGACAACAAGTTTCGACAGATCTCTAACTTCCAACAACGTTGCAGTTTGAACAGTTTATTTCTATTTTCGTTGTGTGAGCGTATGTGTTTTTTTTTTGTTTTTAAATTTGCATTTGTTTTTATTATAATTTATTTTAGTCTAGGCTTTTTTTTCTCTTCTCTTCTCTTCTCAAAAAAAAAAAAAAAAAAAAAAAGAAAAAGAGAGAGAAAAAGAAAAAAGAAGAATAAAAATCCCGGTAAATTGAGGTACAAGTCTGACAGACATACCTGCCCAATATACAGAACAGTTCGTGATCGGCCGACAACAAATAAGTAAACATTTTACGACCTGGTTTGGTGCAATAAAAACATATCTTCCACCTAACCATTTTTTTTTTTTACTCTTTCATTTTTATTACCTTTTTTTTGTTTTGTTTTGTTTATAATTCTGTTTGTGTTTTTCATTTTTTATCGAAGGGCACAAAAATAAAATAAATATTCCTACGCACACAAAGGTTAGCCAAAAAGGCCTCTCTGGGATGAAAAAAATCTCTCTTTTCTTTTCCTGTCGCTTTTTAATTATAGCGTTCTCTCGCTCTTTCTCTCTCTCTCACACACACACATAATCTATTTTTTCTACGAGTATTACACTACTATATTAACTTCAATCTCTGGCCGTTTTTCGTCTGTGTTGCTCTCTCTCTCATTCTCTCTCTTTTCCTATTTAACCTCACACTCATCTTCTGGTATTTGCGAGGATTTTTTAAAAACCGGTTCTCTCATGATTGCGTTTCTTGTAAGGAAAAAGTCGGCTCCGGGTAGAGGAAAATCACCTTTACGCAGTCCATTCTGGTCCGGGGCTTACAGTTCAATTGCGTCAAACAAAACTCTCAAGGCCGGTTAAACTACCTATAGATATATATTTTTTTGCTTACCTGTGTTTTCCGCTTCTTGCTTCTCTGTAGGATTTCTCTTTTGTGTCCGAATAATTTGCATATAACCCGGTTTAAAAAACAAAAAAAAAACAAAATGTAGAAAGGAATTGACAGAAAAATCAAGAACGATTGGAATTAAATTTTCAATTTTAAAATAGAATGAGGAAAAATCTCTTCGTAATGATTTTTTATACAAAGAAAAAGAATTTATCATCGCCGAACGATTAAGAGAAATATATATATATATATATATATATATATATATATATATATATATATATATATATATATATATATATATATATATATATATATATATATATATATATATATATATATATATAAAATTAAATAATATATATAAAATTTTTTGCCTATATGTAAAAATTGATGAATAAAAAGATGAAAGAAATGATGCATAGGTCAGGGAAAGACACCTGAAGAATTCACCAGATTGTATTTATTTATATTTATCTACGTAGTGTACATAAGATACACAAGTATAAACTTAAGTTCATTTTACCTGTGTAGTTATTTTGATGGTTGGGAGGGTGGTGAATATATTAAATGCTGGGTGAATGGGAAGAGGCGTGCATCTTCATTAATCTCTCTCTTTCTTTCTCACTTTTTCATTAAATATAGACAGACGTGCATTAATAAGTGTCTGAGTATTTAGGTTTGTCTGAGTGCGTGCCCATGCGCATCGGGACGGTGAGCGTATAACTATTTCTGCTTGATTGGAAGGAAAAGAGATGGCGCACGCGTTTATCTTTGTATCCTGACAGTCCGCATGATATTACCAAATTCTGCAAATATTATTAAGAATACTAATAAACTACCGGTTTAATGCCAAAATCATCACTAGTATAATGAATTTAGTATTTGCCATTTTGTTGCTTAAATAATAATGATGATGATGATAATAATAATAGCAACAACAAAGAACAGGTAGGTTAAGAAGTCGTACTGAAAGCATCTTTAGTTCAATACGACTGAAGAGTCCGTCCTTTCTTGTCTTGATTTAAGAAATAAAAATGGGAAATATATAAACAATTTCAAAAAAATTAACATCACATTTTTCGGTGATGATCTGGAGTCATCAGAAAAAAAAAGAATTCGGATCATCAGAGAAAATTTTTTTTTCTCAAAATTGTCTTATATATTTCTAATTCCCAACCAACTTTACTTGCAGAAACAACAACAACAACAATAATAATAAACGATAGGCCTAATATCATTATCACTACTACTACTACTACTGAGCAATCTCTGCCCATTCTCACCTTTTCTACAATAAAAACAAAGAGAACAGGTAGGTTTTTGTGACATCGCAACCCCAAATACTACTACTACTACTACTACTACTACTGATACGGAACAGTCTCTGCCCGTTCTTACCTTTTTTTTAAACCGGAGAGAATGGAATAAGAACATTCTATAACAAAGTACATATGGAGAAAGAAATTGCAACGTGAAATAAAGAACAAAATGAATGGACGATAAATAGATAGATAGATAGATAGATATGAAAACATTGAAATAGATATGAACAGACCAAGATAGATAGATAGATAGATAGATAGATAGATAGATATGAAAACATTGAAATAGGTATGAACAGAGCAAGATAGATAGATAGATAGATAGATAGATAGATAGATAGATAGAGAAAGGGAGAGAGGGAGAATGCAAATAAAAGAGAAAAAATGCTGAGACGGTGATGAAGATAGATACAGAAATAAAGATTTAGAAGGAGAAAAAGAGAGAAAAGAAATCGTTTTTACTTCAGCGACAATTACCATTACTACGACTATTATTATACAAGAACAAGAGCCACGATAACTGCAACTGTTACTACTACTACGACTACTCATGGTAGCACACTAGCAGCAGCATCTTTGTATCTATCCATCTCTCTTTCTATCCATCCGTCTAACCAGCCAACCATCCACTGGCTGTAGTCGTTGTGGTAGCAGACGCAGTTTATCTCACACTCCCAGTTTGAACGAGGCGCGTCTCTGTAAAACTAGCAGTTCGTTAATACACTCACTCATTGGTGCACTCACTCCTCAAGCATAGGACATAAAACACTCGTCATCGTCATGGGAACTGTCGACGCGTCCGAAGCTCCAGCGAGAACTTTATTACTACGGTGTGGAAACATGTACCCTGAATGGAGAAGGCGTCCGTCAGTTTTACAATCGTCTATGTCTTCATCGTCAACTTTGTTAAAAGTTTCCTTTTTTATCACTCTTACATTGGCCTTTGCGACACATGCTTCGGCTATGGACCTTCTGGATATTGTTCAGACAAAAAGCAACTTAAAAGAGGTTAGTTTTCATTTGATGTGTACATATAACAGACCAATATTTACGTGTGCGTGTGTGTAAGTATTTGATAGCATGCAATGTCGCAATATATATATATATATATATATATATATATATATATATATATATATATATATATATATATATATGCATTATGAAAACATTACCACAAACTGCAATATACATACATACATACATACATACATACATACATATATATATATATATATTTATATATATATGTGTGTGCGTGTGTGTGTATGTTTGTAACTATGATAGTTGTGATTATTGAATGGTATACATATAAAAAATCGATATTCGATTAAT